AAGTGAATGGGCCAGGACTGGCAGTGGTAACTCACTCTGCACTTGATGAAAAGCAGAGATAAATTACCTAGTGGACTAGATGGAGGGGGATGTGTGTAATCAGCCATGTTTCCTCCAGGAATGAGCATGTAACAGAATGACTAGGACAATGCTCTGATTCTATGCATGTCAAAAGAAGTGTGATTGGCCTAGTGCTTACAGCTTATAATGTGCTGATGAAGCTCATCCTTTTGTTTTGTTCTGTTTTTTTTCTCTTAATAATGTTTGTTATGTTTGTTATTTTTGCATTTATGAATTCAAGTCGAAAAAGGCATAGTTGACAGATAAAAGCAAAAGAGATTGAAGATTAAAAAAACAAGTAAAGCTAACAAGAAAGCCCAGACAAAAAGGCGCTTTTCAATGATAAGAGTTATTCTTTGTATGTTACATATTTGCCATGACTTATCAGAGCAAATGGATATCCAGCCCAACATACACATTAACTTTAACAGTCCAAGTATAAGATGTTATTGTTCTATTACTGGAATGTTAAGACTGTCTAGAAGCCATTTTAACAAGTATGTGTTCTTGTTAAAGAACAGCACTTCTAATTTTAGTCAAGTTAAATTGCAATTACTCAAGCACCAAAGTCCAGAGTTGTCCTTGTCCATTTGTTATTATAAACTTAACCACATGCTGGATGTTCTGTGGGATTCATGTGGCAGGAAAACCTGCTCTGCATTAACTTATCAATGTCAGCAGCTTATCAGCTCTGGCATTTTTACCACTCTCTGCCAGAGCACCTGGCAAGCAGTAGGATTGTCTGGCCAACCTATTCTTACTGGTTCATTTTGTTTTTTCTTCCCTCACTTCATTGTCTCTTAGGTACTCAATGTTCATTTTTGCTGCCAAGCACTTTCCTCAACTCAAGTGCCACCTCTTCATTGCCACTCTATTCTCCAGAGAGACCCTACTCTGGATCCCAGTCTAACCACTCTGACCAAAATGTTTCTCCTTTATACAGCACTTGTCTCTGGTTTAAACATCTCCTCTTTTAGACTTTAGAAAATAAATAGTCAATGTCTCAGGAAAAAAAACAAAAAAAACAAGACTAGTTAACTTACAGTAGTAGGTACAATTAATGTGTTTACCCATTTCATAACTTCAGGTGTTCAACAAAAATGCAAAAGAAGCAAAGCAAAAATAATTTAGTAAAAAGATTTAATAGTTTTACTGATAAGAAACAAAGAAACCCTGCATAGCATAATGGCTTCTGTAATTTTGTGTAATTTTAATTCTTCTTCAAGTTCTTTCTTTCTTTCTTGCTTTCTGTCTGTCTGTCTGTCTGTCTGTCTGTCTGTCTGTCTGTCAATGCCAATGCATTATTTACAAATAAAGGTATTCCTTTTCAAACACAAAACCATCTTTTGATCATTTGATAATAATAAGAAAAGTTTACTCTACTGGTTGTATGCAGTTTTTGCTGTAAAGAAATCTGAATGCAAAACTGAGGGGGAGTATTATATATAATTTTTTTTCATTCCAAAAGTTTACCTACTTTACTTTCCTATAATTACCAAGTGGGATTTTTTTCAACCAAAAAATAAACAAGTTAAGCAAACATTTATGATTTGCATAGAATAAGGTTGGGTTTAAAAGACAAAGTTAGATTTAGACATATAATAGAAGTGATGTTATGGTTGCTGTGAAAAAAGCCAGTTGAAACATTTTGTCTTAGGCACTGAGATGTGGAAAAGAAAATATCATGGACAGGATTTAAAGAAAGCAATTTTTCATCGCTGTTAAGAGACAAGGTAGAAAGATGGTATTTACATCAAGAAAACCTTTCCACCCACACACAAGAACTTACACACTGCAAAAAATATAAATCTCAATAAGTTATTTTTTCTTAAAATAAGTGTGTTTTTCCTTGATTTGAGGAGATAAGTAAGACACTTTGCCAATGGAACAAGACAATTTCCTTTTAAAATAAGAAAAAACTATTTTATCGTCTTATTTCAAGTAAATATTATCTAACTATCTTATTTTAAGAGTGAAAATACTCATTCCATTGGCAAATCATCTTATTTACCTGCTCAAATTAAGGCTAAATATACTTAATTTAAGCCATTTTTTACTTATTTCTGGATTGTTTTTGCAGTGCATGTATGCTTTTAAAAAGTCTTATATCATAGGTAAATATCAAACTCACACTTTCTCTTGATGTGCCACATTCATATTTTATGAAGATTTTTAGCTAGCTATAGAAGAAGAGCAAAAACAGTCACTGCTTGTTTGAACTTGAAGACAGAGATCCTGTAGACCTCTGTGTTCAGGAAAGCTTTTCTTTCCTTTTCTGACTTTCAAGCACTGATACATAAACTAATACTTCAATACTAAGTATCACAGCCAATCCTTATATATATATATATATATATATATATATATATATATATATATATATATATATATATATATATATATATATATATATATATACACTTCTAAAAATGTCCGATGTTTCTCCAATTATCTTTTGGAGACACTTCTCCAGTGTTCTCTTCAGCCCTTGGTATTTCTCCATTTCTCATGCTGTTTCTTCCTAATGTTTCCATCATTTGTTATGGCCACATCAATCACTACTGCCTTTCTCCGCTGCTTATCAATGATCACAATGTCAGGTTTTTTAGCCACAACCACTTTGTCTGTTGTTATCTGGAAATCCCACATGATCTTAGCCCAGTCATTCTCCACCACCTTGGTAGGTGGTTCCTATTTTGATCTGAGAGTCTCCAGTTTGTCCTTCCATGTATTACTTTTCTTACAGTCTCTTATACCTTGTTGTGAGATTCTGGATTGTTTCTGGGGCCTCTTAGCATAGCCTGCATCTGGAATCTTGTCTGGAATGATAGATCTGTGTGTCATTTGCTGTGGTGTTCAACGCGCGATCCTGTGCTGATCCTATCCAGGGCTTTTTCCTCCTATGATAGTTCTTTCAGTTCCTTCTTTTTCAGCTTCCACATTATGAGACATCTATCAAGTGGAATATACTTTGGGGCCATCATCCGGATATACTCTTCGAGCTTGAATGTTTCATCTTCAGCAGTAGCTCTGATGCTCACTAACCCTCTGCCTCATTCGATGCGCTTAGTGTGTAGCTCGTGGATACTGGATTTAAGGTGGAATCAACCATTGTAAGTAGCTTTTATATTTTAATATCAGTAGTATGAATTTCCTCCTTTGGCCAATTCGTTACACCCAGCAGGATTGCTAGCCTGAAATAGCTGTTGTTTGCCCTGACCTTGTTCTTGCCATTGAGTTGAGTTCTCAGAACTTTGCCTTAATCCGTGCATGTATATAACTGTAGCTGCTTTCCATGTTTCCTCTTTGTGGTTTCCACTTCTGCTATTTTATATATATATTTACACACACAACTGTGTTTATTATTCTATGCAGCTCAAGTAAAATAACCAATGGGGAACTAATAAGTTAATACTGAATTACTGACACTAATACAGGAACCACTTAAAATCGAATCCCGTGCAAAATACACAGAATATGAATATTTGGTAATGGGTTATGGATTAAAAATCTTAAGTCATTATCTTATTAGTTCTGTGGATGTTTTATTTTGGTAGATGTGCACTGCAAAAAATATAAATCTCAATAAGTTATTTTTTCTTAAAATAAGTGTGTTTTTCCTTGATTTGAGGAGATAAGTAAGACACTTTGCCAATGGAACAAGACAATTTCCTTTTAAAATAAGAAAAAACTATTTTATCGTCTTATTTCAAGTAAATATTATCTAACTATCTTATTTTAAGAGGGAAAATACTCATTCCATTGGCAAATCATCTTATTTACCTGCTCAAATTAAGGCTAAATATACTTAATTTAAGCCATTTTTTACTTATTTCTGGATTGTTTTTGCAGTGTGATGTAAATTAAGTTTTTAATTAGTCCTATAATCCAATTCAAGACTATTAAGCTACACTGAGCAATAATGATTAAACTTGTGAGCAAAATATGAACTAAAACTGGGACTAAATCAGGTGGCTAAACTAACTAAACTAAAGCAAACAAGGAGTAAAGCTCACTAAAATAAGCACTATGTGTAGAGAAAACAAGCCTTTTGATGAGATTTTACACTCAGTCCTCACATCGATAATTTAGGCTAGCTGCTGTATATTTTATTCATATTTACTCAATTGCTAGATTGCTTAAAATCGTCATTAATTTACAATGTGAATTATTCTAGTCCAGATAGGGTAAGATACATTTTCAAATGATAGACCTCGTAATAAATGCTCCAAAATCCCGGTACTTTTCAATATGTGGCGCAAGTCCTCCAGTCCTGCTGCTGTCAGCACAGTGAAAACGTGGGCTTGTGCAAAAATACAGATTGGACATAAACCTGGTATGTCCTTGTGTGTTAGCACTAAGGTGGTGTTGAAAAAACGCACTGGATTTTTATCACCATGGTTTTTTTTATATATAAGTAAGTATATATAAATGGAGTGAGAGCGTGTGAAGACACTGAGATGCGTGTGTCTCACACCAGATGGGTGAGAGTTGACAGGCCTTGACTCCAACTGCTGTTATTTGTTCCTCTGCTTTTGCCTATTTGTGGTCTGTTCAAGCTATCTATATAGTAAACCAAAAATAATTAATAGACTGCTGTGGGAGGTGTTTATTTTAGTATCAATGTACCAAAAAATGTGTGATGCTCACTACTGTAGGTTTAAATAAGGACTCGATTTTAATTAGACCTTTGAAAATGTGTTACGGTATTTAACCTGACTTGAGTTCCTCCAAAGTGTTAACCAGCAGTTCCGGTCCTATATATTTGTACCCTAGTTCATAGCATGTCATTTTAGGCCAGTTTAGGCCAGCTGTTATTGAGAATAAAACCATGCACATACAATCACAGTGTCCAAGACATGCTGGAATATGAAATTCAAATATTTTCAGAAATGTATTAATAAGTATTTTTTAGAATTATGATAAAAGGTGAGCCTCACCGGACAGTCGTTTTGTACACAAAATCCTCACGTCTTCGGTAATCCTCCATATGGGAGTAATTTGTATTAAACATGGCATCGTAGGTAAAGATTTTCTGCTTGATGGTACCTCCGTCTGTGACCTGAAAAGCAAAGAAAAAAGTTATAAGGATGGAATTTAACCAAACAAAACACAAGTGCTTTTATTTTTTTTGTCTTGAGTTTATCTTATTCTATGCTTTTTGGATATTATGGACTGACACACTGATATCACTAATTCTAATAATAACTTAAGTAAGACACTGACAACCTGCTGACATGATAACATCATAGAGATCTTATTCACCCTCAGGTCTGTGTCTCTAGACATGGCTAAAATATAATGAGGACTGACACAGTGCAGTGTTCTGTATGTGTCAAACCTTGAAGAAGTCTGCTTTCAGCAGATGTAGTGGCATGTAACGAGATTCTACAAAGATGGATGTTCAAAACACTGGTCTTATCTCTTCTTTTTTAAGCATTGTATCTGATGAGAGAAGCTTTTCTTCCCTTTCTAATATTCAAAGGACTGCTGAAGTCACTTAGCATTTGAATGAATATGATTTCTGCTCTCTTCAGAAGCTATGACATCCATAAAGTAAAACTGGTGACAGGATTTTAATGGAGCCACTAACACTGCTTTGAAGAGGGGAATCGTTGGTGGGCTAAGGATTCCTTATGCGATGCTGTCATTCTGATCCAATCAAATCCCCCCAGCAGGTAAACATTGTCAAAGCATTTCAGGAAAAGTCCCTCCATACATTGCAGCATGAAGCATTAAAGCTAAATTTGATCTATGTGAGGAATTGACTGTTCACGTTATAACTAAAGTATCTATATTAACCTCTTGCCTCTGCTTTATTGTGTTAGGTTGAAGTGCATTGAGTTCCTTTTTCAGGACCAAACTAGGTGTTATTCATTTGATTGCTTTTAACAGTTGGCTCTAAAGTAAACAAGTAAAGATTTTATTTTAACAGTATGATGATTATGGATACGTTCAAGATATTACTTCTTGTTTACACTGTGTTTTAAGAACTTATGTAATAAATCTTATATAATAAATTCTTGCAACAGCCTAAGGCGAAGATAGGTTCCACAACATTTATTCAAAATGTTTTCCCTTTATTTCTGCTTTGGATTTACAAAGAAGATTAAAGTAAAAAAAATATGGAAGCAAACACACAAGTGAAGTCCAGCAGATAATAGTAGTTGTCTATTTTAGCATGAGGTCATAGCTGTTTTCTATTTAGCCACAAACATAACAAAATACTGTAAAGTAGTGAATGACAAGGGATGTGTTTAATGACTTTTTTGAAAATTACAAAACATTACATGAAAAAAAATAATTTTAATGTAATTTTGTTTTGTTTCACATAATGAAAACAAATAAAGCTCAGATTGTAGTTCCATTTTTCTTAACATATGAAGGGATTCAGTTGTGTTTTTAAATAGATATGATTGTGTAGATGGATTAGTTATCATTAAAAAAATTTTCATAGATATGTGAAACAAATAATTACATTGCTTACGTAAAACACCTTTGTCCAAGTAGAAAAAACATTCAACTCTCTCACCCTCACTGAGCTAGGTAGAGATTTCTCAGTGCCCCTCTGCTGCATAATTTTGTTGGGGCCGAGTAAAAGAATTAAAATTTTTGCAATAGCTTAAAGGGCTCATTATGCTTGACACATGGACATTCCATGCAGAAAATGGGCTGCCTTTCACAGCATCTGCAGCATTTACACTCTGTGAAGTTTTCCCCATTCTAGACGGTGTTCTGTCAAAACAGCATACGCTGTCAGATCGGCATACATTGTTCTAATGCGCATGCACGCACATGCACAACAGAGAATTATTCCCGAATAGAATGTTGGCAACAGTGTAACAACAACCAAAAACATGTTTATTTTAACTTTAAAAAAGAAAATCAGCTTTGATTATAATGTTATTTCTTGGATGTAGAAATGTTATGTTTATCTGTGAAAAATTCCATTGTAGATATTGCTTTATGTCTTGGATTGTTGTCTTGTTGGAAAATAAATCTCTTTCCCAGTCTCAGGTCTTTTGCAGACTCCAACAGGTTTACTTCCAGAATGGTCCTGTTTTTGGCTCCATCTATTTTACCATCAGTTTTAACCATCTCCTTTCTGTCACTGCTGAAGAAAAAGAGGCCCAGACCATGATGCTGCCAACACCATGGTTTACAGTGGGTATGGTGTGTTCAGGGTGATGAGATGTGTTTCTTTTATGCCAAACAAACGTTTTGCATTGTTGCCAAAAAGTTTGATTTTGGTTTCATCTGACGAGAGCACCTTCTTCCACATGTTTGATGTGTCTCCCAGGTGGCTTGTGGCAAGCTGTAAAGATACTTTTTATAGATAACTTTAAGAAATGGCTTTCTTTCATTGAAGCCAGATTTGTGCAGCATATAACTGTTTTTGTCCTATGGACATAGTCTCCTATCTCAGCTGTAGATCTCTACAGTTCATCCAGAGTTATCATGGGCCTCTTGGCTGCCTTTCGGATCAGTCGAGTCCTTGTATAAGCTGATAATTTAGAGAGACAGCTGGGTCTTTGTAGATTCACAGTGGTCTGATACTCCTTCCATTTCAATAATATCGCTTGCACAGCGCTTCTTGGAATATTTAAAGCTCTTTTTGTAATCAAATCCGACTTTAAACTTCTCCATAACAGTATCTTGGACCTGCCTGGTGTGTTCCTTGTTCTTCATGATGCTCTCTGCCCTTTAAACAGACCTCAGAGACTATTGCAGAGCAGGTGCATTTAGAGAGAGACTTGATTACACACGAGTGGATGTATTTATCATCATCAGTCATTTAGGTCAACATTGGATCCTTCTTAAGCCCATTCAGAGATCATCTGTTTCCACTTGTATATGAAACTTTACTGAAAATTATTTAGGGAGTAAAAACGTATATACCTGACACAGAGACGGAAAGGGAGGTGAGAAACAATAAGGGAATAAGAACTAAGTTGACAGAGAGAGATAGGGTGCATGAAAAGGTAGAAAACAAAACAGCAAAACCACAGAAGATATATAGTAACTCTTAGAAATCTGCTTCCATACCATGTATAAGAGGAGAGAGAAAGAAAACAGAGAACATAACATAGCAAAGAGAATACAACAGACAACCAAGGTTAACATTGAAAAAAAGCTTCAAGAGCAGCAGGTATCCCTTAGATATCTATATGTGTGGAAGGCAAAATCTATGGCAGTTACATAATATTATTCAGGTGGTATATATCTGTAGCTGCAGGTTAGTATTTAGTATTAGTCTTTATCCATGACATTGTGGTATGTATGCATGGGCATGCTTATGTATAAAGGAGTTACAAAGCTTCTTCAGAAGAAAAATATGCTTAATAGTTGCCACAGTTCTGCCTTTGGTTGTAGTTTACTACTAGAAATATGAAGATAAAAAAAAAAAAACGAGACTTGTCTATGTTAAACATCAGTTAATACTTTTGAGAATATGCCCTTCAGTTAAAACATCTACAAGAACTAGGCTCAGGGTAAGTAGCTTTTTGCCAAAAACAAAATTTTGAAAATACAGAACATACACACAAAACAAAACACAAATCAATGAGTACTTTCTATGTTGAAAAGGTATATGAGGTTTCAATGAAATGTTCAAATGATCAAAATGAACAACTACAGTAGTAGCCATTCAAAATTTCTCCACTTTCCTTGATGTCCCTTGGCTGGTCCGCTACAATTCCTATTTAAACATCTATCTTTGTACTAAAATATTCTTTCTGTAATGATTTGTGAACATTAAGATCTAAAGAAAAGCCTCATCTCCTGGTCAGACCCTGTAATTCAGTAAAAGGGTCGAGTCAGAGTTAAAAAACGCATGCCCGGGGGAAGGCAATTGGCTGGAAGTTGGAGGGGAGTACGCTGCCATTCAGCTGGCATTTGACTGGGAAGGGCGATTTTTGAATGGCTTCAACTGCAAGTTTTTGTTTTTTTTTGTTTTTTTTTTTCTGCATTATTATTGGAGGTAAATTTAATTTAAAGGAAAAATTAAGGGAAAGATGTGTTTAAAAATTTTGTTTGATAACCTCCTTGAACTTTTGTTTCAACTAGAAACCCTATCAAAGGGACCAGTACAATCCAAACACCTGCCTTTTCAAGAAGAGAGTAATTTTAGTACACCAACCATCCCACAGAAAATTATTTGGCAGATATTGTAGGAATTTGGTTTCGGTTTTTCTAAGCTCCAAGGATAGGATAATCTATATTTTTTTCCCACTGCAATGTAACTTCTATTTATCTATCCATCTTTACTGGTTGTACCTCTTAATGAATATTGACCAATAAACTTCTGTCATAAATATGATAGAATCTGCACTTTACTGAATGTCTTGCAAAGAAGAACTTTTTGCAGTATTAAGCTATGAGTAGGGGAAATAGAACAGAGGGCTGTAGAAAGAATGGATATGGAATAAAGGAGAACCAAACTGTGCCAAAATGGCTGTACACATGGGAGATGAATACTCCTTTGATTAAAGAAAAGCAGTTTTAGAAAAGCAAAGCCTAGCTACAACCACATTGTTGAATTTAGGCCATTTAATGCATATGAGGAACAGAGGCATCTGCACCTCCCCAATGTTTAGCCATCTGGAGATATGAAAAGGCAGGTGTGAATGGTGGAGAATGAGCTATCCATTCTTTGTTGGCTTTGTGGCAGAGATGGATGTTGGCAAAGAAAATAGTTCTGAGGCAGAAGAAAAAAAACCATGACAGGTACTGTAGCTGACAATGGGTGGGTTTAAAGGTGCTCAAAAAAAGGATGACATGCTACTCCAGAGCATTACAGATGCCAGGTTCTCTCAGCGGGTGACCTGCATCTTTACTGGCAATCCAGCAGAACTGCTTTTATAATGGTGGCTCCTATTATTGGGGTGAGATTAGTACAAGGTCTCAGGGGTTTAACCGAAGTCCTCCTCCCTCTATTTGTCTCAGCCAGGCCTATTTATAGGCTGTAGCTACAACAGCAGCCAGTGGCGGAGTTACAGTTTACACATTGCAAGCACGATAGAACAGATGGAATATATATTACTACTAGTAATAATAATAATA